ACGAGGGAGCGAGGAGGGGGGCGAGGAGGGTCGAAGAGGGGGCGAGGAGGGGCGACGAGAGGGCGAGGAGGGCGCGAGGAGGGGGCGAGGGGGGCGGTTGCCCCAAAGCTTTGAAGAAAGATAGTATTTCGTTCTAAAACAATGGAAAAATGTGACGTCATCCTATTAAACAATAGGCTTGCCCTCCCAATATTTGACTAAGTGTCTGCACCTATTACAAGGCTGTCGGAAGCGGGGGCTGGGTGGGCCTGAAGCCGACAGGAATTATAAAACTGAACTATACATCCTTTATAATGGTGTACTGAATTGGAAGTAATGCAATGGACAGCCCCTTTAACTCCACCTCCCCCCCCCCCACAATATGAATTTCGTACTGACGACATCGCGAATCATTCACTCCTGAGCATAATCATAATCATACTTACATTGACTCCGCTAGTTGAAACCATACGCTTCTCCCCAAAGTCGCACACGACAATCGCAAGCAAATAAGTCGGCATCACAACAGTTTTTTGAAATCTGTCCAGGACGAATGCACCTTTTGTTTCTGTACCTATCTTCGGCATGTTTGTGATTGCAATGAACGCAGGGTCATGGGCCAAAGACATATTGAACGTAGCTTTCAAAGCTGGCTCGTCAAAGCACGGGAAGGCCCGGCGCGCATCTGTTGGCTGGAACTGAGTCGCTGCGATGGTGCTGTAAGGAAACCATTACAGTTCTTATTTGTCTAAGAGGAAGGTCCACGAAAAACATTAGAAGCTTCAATGACACGCCCAAGCCACGCCCACTTTCTATTGTTTTGTGAGGAAGGTTCCTTCTGGGATGTTTTTGTCTGGAATAAGGTTAACAACTTTTCTGGACTCTGCGGTGATGGTATTTTTGCAACAGTTATTTCTTAAAAACTGCACTTGAGCAACATGGCCTTAAAAGAACTATCGACCTGAAATTGATACATTTCAACCATATTATGACCTATAATTATTAAAGGTTATAAAATATAGGAGCTTGGCAGAAAGTCTGCTAGAGCTAATGTGACAGCGAAAGACAAAATGAGCTCACACCAAATTGATGAGTTGCTGAATTCCGAGGAGAAAGAATTCGATTGGAAGGAGAAAAAAGCGATTTAGATATATGCATAGGTCGGAAATCTACATAAATCTACTATGAAAGGTGAAGTTGCAAAGTAGCTATACAGAAACTGAAGAAATTAAAGGCAAGATTGCAGGTGAAGAGCAAAAGTAGCATTACGTACACAGGTGTGCCGTCCTTCTTCTTGTATGTACTCCTGTACAAGCCTTTCAGATCAGTTGCTAACTTCGCACTGTACTCAAAATAAAGCTGGTACTTGCCAACTGCCAAGGAGCTGGCAAATTTGAATACATAGTAATCATTCTTCTTGTACTCAAAAGTCTCTGATGCCTAGAAATAAAAGGCGAAATTAACTTCCTGCGTGACCCGCGAGATAACCCGTAGCAGCTAGCTCTTGGCTACAACGAGGGGGCCTTATTTGTTAATATATGACATAATTGCTTTATTTTAGATTGGCTTTTCGTCTAGCTAGTTAATATGCTAATTAATGCCAACCAAAGCTTAAATAAACGTTGATGATAACTAAGGATATTCATTGTTTACAAGGATAAATCTATCAACAAAGAGTATGTCGATTACAATCATAAAAACCCTAAATTTTCAACAAATCGTTTGCACAATCTACAGTTGCAATCAAACTGACGATTTTTGTGTCTTTTTTGAAGCCATTCAATGTCTGGGACTCTTTTAAGAAAGATGACATTGTATGCCATAACTTCGCTCCAAGAAAACGTGCATTTTCAATACCATGCCCAATCGTGTTTGGTTTTTGATACCGAAATATTTCTGCCACTACGACGATGGATGGACTGTCTTTTTCCACAAAGATTTTATTCATGAAACTTGGACTGAGATGAGATTTCTTTGAGTTTTAAAATTTCAGTAGCAAGCAACTGAAAATTTTTGTGGTGGATGGACACTGTGTCTGCTTTTGTCAATAATTCTTCGAAATCTGAACAACTATCCTTGTATACGATTTTCAAAGCTCTCTCGTGAATTTTGTTTATTTTCTTATTAACCGACCAATTATGAAACATCCAAACAAGTGGACAGTAGCTAAACTGAGAAACAACGAAGGCGTTCATCATAACCTTCAGTTTCTCAACATCCATATACTTTGTAATGCGTGCAATTGCACGCAGCTTCTGTCCAGCTTTTTTACGAAGTGCATTTACGTCGTTCTTCAAATCTAGGTTCTTATCCAGCGTTACACATAAAAGTTTTTCTTCTACAGATTCTGTTATTGAGGTTGCACCAATCTGCACTGATACGTCAGTGTTTTTCTCCCCAAAAATCAAAAGATGACATTTGTCAGGATTCGGTTTCATACTGTTACCAAGAAACCACTTAGAGAGTTTCTGAGCATCTGTGTTAAGGCTAGATACAATATGTTCTAGTTCATGACCGCACACGTAGATGGTCGTGTCATCAGCATAATTGCAAATTTCAGTCTTTTCTACCAAAAAGAGAAGGTCGTTTATAAATACATTAAATAAGAGGGGCCCCAGAACAGAGCCTCGTGGTACCCCTTTAATTGATTCTTGCCAGGAACTGAATGACCCATTGATCTAAACTCACTGTTTCCTATTAGAAAGATAGCCATAAACCAGTTTTGGGGCAAATCTACTGAAACCGTAAGCTTCAAGCTTTGCAATGAGTAATTCGTGATTCAGACAATCAAACGCCTTTGAAAGGTCCATTAGAATTGCACCTGCAAACCCTTTCATATCTAGAAAAGATCTGTATCTTTCAATCCATCTAAGGAGTGCATGTTGGGTGTTATGGCCTTTACGATGCGCACAAAGAGAAGATGACAGGATATTTTCCATGTAATGAGCAATTTGACCTGAAAATGTTATTTCGTAAATTTTGATATAGCCGGTAAGACTGTTATAGGCCTGTAATTCTTTTTGCAAAGGCATCACCATTCTTAAAGAGGGATGTAATGTCTCCTTTCTTTTATTTTTTTGGGAATTTGCTTGTATCTTTACTTTCTTTTATCTACGATGTTTTGTAGTTTTTGAAAAAAGAACGTTTCAAGTGTCAGGATTTTGCGGCAAATGGCAAAAAATTGAAGCAATCAAAATTTGTAGACCAAAAAACGTAAAAAAGAAGGAAAAATTTAGTACGGTTTTAAGCTGAGACCAGCGACATAATGGTTTCAACTGCTTTGAGCCGAAAAAAGGTTATCCATCCATGCTATAGCTTTTGAGGAAGCCCAAGCACAACCTCACAAGGGTCTTTAAAGTGAGCAGGATATTTTGTTGTTGAAAGCAAACAACATAATATCTCAATAAGTAAACCAGAAGCGGGCGCATAGAAACTCAACCCGGTTTGATTTTTCTCGTGCACTGTTTCGCAAAACGAGTCTCTTAAGATTCTTGCACGCTCCCGGATTCTTAAACGTGGATAAACTTACCGCGATTTTCGTACCGGCCTGGTTTGTAACCTCGGCCTTCTGTATCATCATCGAATTAATGTGTATGACAACTTCATTGGTAGCTTTTGTTACATCGACAAAGGCGGTGGACTTTCCGGTAAACGACTCATTTTTCAAGTCGATTGTAAGCTCCACGTCATAATGGTAAGGTTTGACGAAGGTCGGCAACCGGATGTTCTGGTAAAGTCCGGGTGACCGGGTCGGTGTGGTAGCTGCTGGTGTGGCTGTATCGGAACAAAATAGATTCCGGTTAATTTATTAAGAAATTGATGTTGACCGCAATAAAAGACAAGGATTATTTAGGTACGTACACGATATATAAAAACATTTTATTCTAAAAAAACATTTGCCATAAACCGGTGATATTGTGTAGCAACAAGCGATCACATTAACTAGTTTAAAAGCTTAACCAAAATCTATTTCAAAGTGAGAAGAGTAACACGCTCTCTGCATTTTCACATCTAGGAATGAGGAGATTGGGTTGCATCGATAAGAAGGACCAGGAACTGGGTGTGAGTATGGCTCAGTGGTTAGGGTGGCGGACTCCAGATCCAAGGGTCCGGGACTGGAGTCTCTGCCATGACTAAACCTTTACCCAGAGTGGGACAAGTAGCCAGCTCTCTGTAAAACCAGGTGTGGGAAGCACGAGGTGTGGTCAAATTTGAGACAAAGGACCAAGCACTGCTCGATAAGCAAATTGTCTCAATGTCTGTGGGTACAATCCTATACACAACGTGTATTGCGCGGTTATGCGCGTGTAAAACTAGGGTTCACGCGAAGCCTTTTGATTACATATGGATCACATCTTTTCACAAAGTAAAATATTGACCTCAAATTTCATTCAAAGAAAATGTAAATAAATTTCAGAGCGCGTAGGCTTTAGGAGAATGAACCAATCAACAATTTATTTTTCTTTTAAATTCTAAATACACGTTCTTCTTCCACTTTCTTCATAAAATTTCGAAAGGCCTTTCTACAATTGACTCCTTTTATTAAAATTTCAAATCCAAACAACAACCTTTTTCTGATATTGCGAAAATTTAGATGTTTTTCAGCCAACATTTTAGATCCTACCTCAATTCATAATATTTTAAAATTCGAATTATTCCAAAAAGGCTATACTAATTGCTTGCAATTTAAGTTTCCTGAATTTATACTTCGTAATCTGTATTAATATATGCGAACAAGACTTTGATTTTCGCTTCCAATTTTCGCTTCTAAGTCTATCTCAGTTTGTTTTCAAAATTTAAAGAATGCTTTCTCAAGGAGCACCAAATGAGTCCTCCAAAAACAATCTCGTCGAGCAACTGAAATGCAATCAGTAACAGAAAACAGTTTTGGAACAACTAGAGGTGTACTCACTGCTTGCGGCTTTCGTGGGGGGCTTCGTGGGGGACTTTGTGGGGGTTTGTGGAGGTGCTTTTGTCGTTACCTTCCCTTTAGAACCTAGGAAAAAGGAAATACACGTAAGGTTATCATCAATTAAATAAGACGATACTTTAATCAAACTAGCAAACGACAGACCATACTTGCAAATAAGTTACGACAAGAGTGATAAGTTACGATAAGGGGCGATAAGTTGCGATAATGGGCAATAAGTTAAGGGGCGATAAGTTATGACAGGGGACGATAAGTTACAACATGGGACGATAAGTTACGATACGATAGGTTTAGGGGCGATAAGTTACGATAAAGAGTGAATAGTTACGATAAGGGGCAATAAGTTAAGGTGCAATAAGTTGCGATAGGGGGTGATGAGTTACGATAGGGAACGATAATTTACTGCATGGGACGATAAGTTACGATAGAAAACGTTTAGGGGCTATAAGTTACGATAAAGAGCGAAAAGTTATGATGAAAAGTGCGTTACAACTGAAATCTTGGTTTCTTGATTCTTTGGGAACGATTTCGTTTGACTTAGGTTTCGATGTAAACTGTTATAGGTAATATGGAATAGAATAACAAAATAAAATTATTACTATCCAGTTCTGTGCATTCGACGTTAGCTCGCTTTAGTAAAACTCCTCGAGAGCTTATATGTACGCTCCTTTGGCCACCATACCATATACTGAGCCTCGCGTTTGATGGGCGCCCTCTTCTCTCGGTGAACATAGAGTATTGAAGTTTAGAAATCATAAAATCTATTTTTATAGTTTCTAGCTAGACTACATTACCTGAAATAACGCCATAAAAAAACTTTATCCGTGGAGAAAACCTGCATGTTTATAAAGGGAAAACCTGCTCATTTTATAAAGTTATGAATAGTGATTCAATTCCACGGGGAAAGATCCAGTGATTCGATGGGGAAGGACCCAGTAATTCGATGGGGAAGGACCCAGTGATTCGATGGGGAAGGAGCCAGTGATTCGATGGGGGAAGAACCCAGTGATTCGATGGGGAAGGACCCAGTGATTCGATGGAGAAGGACCCAGTGATTCGATGGAGAAGGACTTAATGATTCGATGGGGAAAGATTCTGTGCTCACGTGGACATGCCGCAGGCAATATGCAGCATATATGACTGATTTAAGAAGTTTAGAGACATTTCATTATCACTTTTTGGGTTATGTTTTCAAAATTCCAAGATCAAAAAATATGTATTCATGACGTAAGCATTTAAAACTCCGCGGTAGCTTTTTATTGTGTTTTAGAAATATTTCGACGTTTTTGGTGCCCTTGTCAGTGTGACGGTGACAAAAAGAAGCAAAGTTATAACAGAAGCGGCCAATCATTTATTCTAAAATGGTAGACACCTTAGTTTTGTCAAAATTCCGCTCCGCATGCTTTTAACCAGTCCAAAAGTTACACCAGTCTTCAGTTGCGCGCGGACACAATCTAGTCAGTGAAGATCAATCTCATTCTATCGTATTGATTGGGAAATTTAATCTCTTACAGACCAAAAAGCCTGCATGAAAACGACTCTTCACGAAGGAAGTTAGATTTAACCGCTATCGTTTTGGGTGAGAGTCTGCACACAGGCTAAATCCAATGCCGATATTTGATTGGGACTTTGACGCAGAATTTTTCGAAGAAATCAGACAAAACATCAACCTCCTGGCAACAACCATCCTCTCCGCATGTAACGCGTAGTGTGGTCTTGGTCGGAAGAAGGGGACTGGGGGCAGTGACGTCATGGAGATATCTGAGACCCTAAAGCAAAAAATGAGACAGGGTCCTTTTTGACGGACTGCAAGAAATCCCATCCAACAGTGTAGAGCATGTCAAATACATTGGCAAGATGTAAAAATAATAATTTTTCGTTTTGCTTCAGCTGAAGAGCTTTCAAAACCTTTAAGAATAAGGTGAACTCGCGAAAAGCCTTTAAAACATGGACGTAAGAAAGATTTGGGGGTACCTCTAAAGTAGGGGACTTTAAGTTAACGAACTTAGGTACCCTAAACTGAGGTACGTCAATTACTGGGGGGGGGGAAGCGTTTTCTTGACCAAATGCTACTGAAGGCTTAAAACTTAATTCTTACATTATGTAGTGCAGTTACATTATATTTTTTTGATGATGAAGCAGAAAACATAAACGAAGCTCTTTCTCTTCGTCACGCTTCTTCAATAAAGTTCCCGCTACACCTCCCATTGATTATACATTGGGATTCACAGTTCGTATTCTAATCGCATATCGCACTTTGGAGTCAAATGAAGACAAAAGGGTAAAATTTATGCGGGTAACCTTCGAAGAAAAACGATGTCTTGTTAATTAACTTGTCTTTTAACGCAAATATGAGAATTTCCTCTGCTCTGGCGTCCACTGCATTTGACAGTGTATTCTGGTTCGTTTTAGAGGCTTCAGGTTTGACTTGAGGTTTCTTATTACTGTCTTTTCTGCAGACTTCAGACACCACAAAATCGTTTTCCTTTCATTGCAAAAATTGAGCTTTATAGATAAGGCTTCATGAACTTATCGTCTATTGTTGTTGCTTAAAGTGTCTCAAAACTATCAAGGTGAATTCAGTCTTGCAACACGGTACAGTGCGCATAAACGCAGACTTAGAAGGGGGAAGGGAGGCACTGGAGCTTGACTCCCTCCCGACAAAAATTTAGGGGCTCAGCCCTTCTTTGAAATAGGAAAGCTCAATTTGTTGGACTAATTTTTCACTTTTTCATATTTATATACAAATTTCGTTATCGGTTGGCTATCAATTTTCTCCATAAAAATTGATAGCTAAGTTTAAGAAAATAGGAGCGTATGTTTGTTAGGCCAATTTGTTAGGCCAATTTGTTAGGCTTATTTGTTAGGCTTATTTGTTAAGCTAATTTTTTATATTCTTGGTTTCACGGATAAAAGCATCTCAAAAGATTTAATCAAGATAGAATAATAACGATATTGAAAAATATAAAATAATTGCCTTAGAACCCTCAGCTAGGCCTCTTTCTACCCTGTGCGGTTGGCAGCCACCATTAGCAATTGCAATTAATTTTTGCCCCCCCCCCCCTCTTGATCAATTCAAAAACTATATTGTCTCTACTCGCAAACCCAAATGCTTCGAAAGTTTAAAAAAGTTTCGAAACTAAACAAGGGAAAAGTTTCCAAACTAGACAAAAGAAAATAACTTTATCAAATCTCGTGTGTTCAAGGCAACTCGATAAAAAGTTTCTTCAGTTTGGTCATGGCTGAATATAATGAAAGAAGGTCATTCGGGTCATTAATTCAAATAAATACAGTAAAAGGAAGATTGGGAGAATTGTTCGTCTACTTTTGAAGGAATTTTGAGCAGATGTAAGGAATCTTCGAGAAATCCGTAAACCGCGAGCAAAAAGTGAAAACACTGTCATATTTGATTTCTGCTGGGAAATGTTAAGCCCTGGCCAAACGAATGAAACATCGGCATTAAACATTGTTGCATAAAACATGTTTTATTCGTTTGGCCACCACGTTTTACGATGTTTTATGATGTTTTACGATGTTTTACGATGTTTTACGTTGTTTTACGTTGTTTTACGATGTTTTACGATGTTTTACGATGTTTTACGATGTTTTACGTTGTTTGGCAAAATTTGATTTCCATCAAACATTTCGTAAAACATCTCTTTCGTTCTTATGTTTGATCAACAATGTTGCGTTCATTTGGCCACCCCTTGAAACATTTGTTTTACTAAGACCCCCTCACATGAACAATTTCAGGCCGGTCTGAAACTCAGGTCGTCTTGAAATTTGATGATGCGGGCTAATTTTGCTCCCGCTCACATGGATGTTTTCAAACCGGCTTGAAAAAGCAACAGGGTTTTGCACATGCGCATTTACGGCGAAATTTAGATCAAAACAATCATGGCGCCCAATAATTTGATGAAAAGGTTTATTTTAAATCAGTTGTTGAAATCTATTTTGGTTGTTTTAGTCTCGGCTTTGCAACTTCATTTTATTTTGCTTCTTCAACTTATGTTTCAACTTCTTCAACATGTACCGTTTCTTTATTCCGAGAGTTTTCATGACGTTCAACAGAAGCCAAATAGATCTTGGCAAAATAAGCAAAGGCTGTATCTTGCACTATTCAATGGTGAAATGGCGCCAGTATCCCAGAACTCTAATTTGCATCCCAGAATGCAATTTATTTTTCTCCGCGAGTTTCATTTCGCCCCGACTTGAAAAACGTTTCTGCTCACATGCGGATTTCAAGTCGACCTGAAATTTCAGACCGACCTGAACAACCGAAACGAATTCAGGTCGACCTGAGTTTCATTTCGCCCTTTCTCATGTGAGCACCTCAAGGGCTCAGACCGCAGACTGAAATTATTTTCAGGTCGATCTGAGTTCAGACCGGCCTGAAATTTCTCATGTGAGGGGGGTCTAACGCAAGCACAGTAGGTTAAAATTTGGCAAATACAACACAGTAACTGTAGGACGCTGTTCGGCAGCGCTTGACCTTCACAGATGTTTTAACATTTGTTTGATTCGTTAGGCCAGGCCATAAAGCATCGTTCAACAATGTTGGTACAAAAATGTTTGACAATGTTTTACGGATGTTCTATTCGTTTGGCCGGGCCTTTAATTTTATGCACCTCCTATGAATTTTCCCACCTACGCCACTACCAACAGGGAAATTAAGATAAAACGATAGGACGTTGACCAGACCAGAGGTGTGCTAGATTTTTATTGAGTGATTGCCTCGTGATATTTACGAAATTTCAAAACAAGGAGAGACATGACATGTGGGTAGTTAGGGAATGGGGCAGGGGCGTCACGATCAGCTGCTTTTATCTGCTGTTCAATTCGTTTGCAATAGAAGGAATTTTCAAAAGGATTAGGAGGATTGCTTTGGTGAAGTTTGCTCAATGAAAGAGTGCATTTTCCAGGGATCTTGAACACAGAATAGAGATTAATCTCTATTCTGTGACTGGAAGCATCAAAATTCGAATATTTTCTAGTCCTTTGGCGGATACCATGCTGCCGCCTCGGGGAACAACTAGCATCCTTTGTCCGTCCTGATAAACAGATTTGACAAAACTATTGGGAAAGTCCATTATTATTAATAATAGCTCTTTGTTGTCGTAACCAATATTAAAACAGTTCGGCCTGCTACAGTCTTTTTTTATAAGGAACAAAGGTCGATGTTGAGTACTTCAGTATTCTGGAAATTTCAATACTGTCTCTTAAGAGTTTCTTAATTATGATGTCATGAATGATGTTATGAAATGTCTGTGACCTTTTTTATCACGTCAAGAGATTCGCTTCCGTTCTGATGCTGTATTGAGATTTGGGAAGTATATTTTTATTCCTTGTGTCTAAAGTTCTAGGCCAATAATGTTCATGGATTTTACAAAATTTCGTTGTTTCCAGATTTATCACGATTTAGTATAGTTTCTTAATTTTTTTGCTTCGAGTACCGAAGTTTTTTGCTATTTTCTGACTGTCCAGCACTTGTTTCTTATCGCAAGTTTCTTATAAAAAAATTTAGTAAGGGCAAAGGGGGCAACCATTCCACCCCCGTACTCCCGCGTCATTGTTAACAGTGCACTCATTTTTATAAGAATCAGTAAATTAAAGTTCAGGTTCACTGCTCTTAATTTTTTTTCGAAAAATCTGAGGCTAGATGGTTCTTAATTTGTTCCTAATCTAATAGGGTGTATGCAGTGCAAGTGCTAGCTTTTTCGCTTTAGTGTGGTGAACAGGCCTCATTTGCCAACAAAGTGAGTGAGAAAGCCTTAATTTGCTGACAAATTTGAATATTCACTGAAAGACACCCAAACATTGCTAAAAATCCTCGATTTTGAGAAAAAACGTTATTCAAAATTGCATTTTGCAGAAGCTCAGCCTCAGCTTGTTCTTAACTTGTTCTTAACTTTTGACCAATTTTCAGGCTCGTGTTCTTATAAAATTGCTCTTACAAAAAAGAGTGTATTTCATTACTGTAAATTTCTTAGGGGAATGGGGGGAGGGGGCAATAAGAGGTGATCGTTAAAGTAAATACGTTCTGAAGTGCACACATTAATCATGGCATTGTTGAAATGGTGGCAACCATGTGTAAATGATTACCAAATTTATCAGTGCAATAATGGGCGGTTTCCGTGTATGCTTTCCCCAAGTGATCGTTTCTGAAGAACTAGAGGGCTTAGCAGAGGAAAATTTTCCCGAGGGGCGATTCGCATTTTGCCTGAAACAGAAGGATTTCTGGGGATTTTCAGATAAAACAATAGGATTTTCACGAAAGGTGTACGAGATTTTCTTGAAGTGAATTGCCCCTCGAATTTTCCCCCTTCTTCTCGCGGCAGTCGGTAGCAGTTCTGGATCCGCCCCTGCTTCCCAGCACGATTCAACGGTGCCTGGGAGTTGGGGGGGGGGGGCCTCCTTTACCTCTAGTCGATGCTATTTATGGTAAATTGATTCTTGTCCATTAGGTAAATTTCATTCACAAAATAATTGCTGGTTGTAAAGTGAGCGTTGAGATATTCTGTTTCTAGTTTCCCTTCGATGAAATGCTGTTCTTTTCAAATATGTTTCACTCCCAAAAAGACAGTACCCCGTTTGCTTCCGGTTAAGGGGGCGTTGCCCAATTATCTACATGGCGAACATTATCACCCTCTTTCAAGGGTTGTATTGATGTTATAGGACTATAATTAAGATTATAATTAATGATGCATTCGCCTTACCTTGATTTGAAGACCCGTGAACTGTGCTGTGTTTTCGTTTTCCTGGGCCTAAATATGCTGCTACTATTCCAACGAGTACGATTAAAAGCACGATCGCTACCACGACTATAACAGCTGTCCGTTTTCTTACATAATACCCGGATTTATCTCTGCGAGATCTTTCAACTTCAACAGAAAAGGTTTCCTTCTCGTCCTCCATTTTCGACAAATGCACGTACAGGAAAAGCCTTTAACTACTGTCAATGTTCGTTACCATTAATGTGTGTATATATACATTAAAAGCCTTGTAAAAACGTCAACAAGCATGTCACTTAACAAAAGGAAATTCATTCACGGATACACGGGTGCCAAACTACTCGATTCAGGAAGATGCTCATGGCTAGTAATTTACCGAACACGGAATTGCGGAATAAAGAAATCGGGACTATGGATGGAGACCTTAGAAATCTGTACAACACACAAAATCTCCTTGCAGCAAAAAGTGAAGAGGCAAGAGGGTACAGGGCCCACGCTACAGGGGGCAGGGGGCAGGGGGCTATGGCCTTCCCACTTTCTTGCTAAATGAAAGAATAAAAACAGTTAAAATGTGTCTATATAGATTAACCTTCAGATAACAACGAATACATTGAGCCAAAGCTCAGAAGTGAAACAACGTCAACAAAATGATTGCCACAATTTAAGCTAAAGGGGGAAGAGCATGCTTTCTTTACATTGCTGGCCCCCCCATTTCGGGATCAGTGGCGCGGGCCCTGGGGTAAAACTGTTTGAACTATTAAATGTTTTCTTGAAGTATGGACTCTGGGCACTGATCAGTGGCTCTGGGCCAACCTTGCCGCCCTTTTGGCACACCCTCAGTATTAATTTTTTCTCGCCCATCTCGAGGGGGAAAAGTCCAAAACCCCCCTTGACCGAAATAGCAAGTGACAGCTTGGTTCCACCTTTCCAAAATTGAAATTATCTCCAGAGATCAAATCAGCAAATAAAAATGCAAAATATTTTATTAGAATCTCTGAAATCAGGTGTTTTCTAACACACGAAGTCAATGTTTTATTTTCATCCTCAATAACGTTATAAGGAAAGCCACGAGGTTTGTCGAAATCGATTTCTATAATCGATATATGTAATTACCCACCACACCACAGACAGACTGTCCATTGAAAATTGACACCGCGTCTATTTCCGTACTTTAGAGCAACTTATTCCGCAATTTATGCAGTCCCAGGTGTGAGTGACGGGGGCAGGTGTGACTACTGCCCCCTGGGATAAATCTAATTGTTAATCGTTACCACCCATTGAGAAGAAGCTTGCCGATTTCTATCAAGACGTTACTGAGCAAAATAGCTCTTCGTCACAAATTAATTTCTGCATAAAGTATGAAACATAAAGTTTGAAGAATCTAATTCGATGAAGATTATCTGTGATTACGTTGAAGAAATCTTTTTCCAGGAATCATTCTGGACCGCAGACAGAGCGAGGCAGCTGGGGCAAATGCAATATTATATTGTCATGCTATTCTGGAATATATATTTTCTTTGTCAAGTGCAAGGGCCTAACACACTCTTTTATAAGAACAATTTTATAAGAACAATTTATAAGAACATGTTTCGGATAATTGGCAGAGCCCGGTCGTCCTTCCATCTAGCAGTTTTGGAGTCAATCTACATAAAAACGAAAAAGCCGCCATTGTGTAGACAAAAGGAGTTCATTTTCTCTCTTGGACTCCATTGGTAATTTTTCTTTAGGCTCGCGGCACTGATTGGTCAACTATACCGGTCTTGTGCTTGCGTTTTTCTGATTGGCCTATTTCGATCCACAACTGGGTATATATTTTTCCATCGTGTTTTTCGGAACCTATTCTGACGTTTTTGCTTTGAGGAGTGTCAGACGAAAAAGCTTTTAGTATGTCGTAAAATGTTTGCTTTTTTCAAAGCCATTTTCAAGAACAATTTTATAAGAACACGAGACTCATTGGTCATAAGTTAAGATAAGAACAAATCAAGAACAAGCTAAGGCTGAGCTACCGTGAAAAGCAATTTTGAACTAGATTTTATCTCATAAACGAGGATTTTTAACTATTTGCCGTTTTGGTGTTTGGGGGGGGGGCGTCTGTATTATCAAAAGGACATTTTTCATTCCGAGGGGTGATTCACTTTTGCAAGGAGCGTACGAGATTTTGTCCATAACAAAAAGGATTTCTGGGGATTTTCAGATAAAACAATAGGATTTTCACAAAAGGTGTTCGAGATTTTCTTTGAATGATTTGCCCCTCGTTTCATTCTACATCACTGCATAGTTGCGGAGAGCGCCAGCTTTTGTTCCCTGTGGCTGGATATTCCGCGTTCCACCATTTAACTTCGTCTAGCCTCATCATAGTTTCCGGGTCAGATAAAAGCTTCTAAATTCTGTGGTTATTGCATTATTTAAAATTTCGTGATTTCTTTCCAAAATCGATCTAATCTTGCGTTCCACCAATTTAATTAGGTTTCGCTTTTTTCAAAAGACAAGAATTCTTGGAGCAACCACGGAGCAAGGGATCATGGATTATGAATTACGACCGAGGCTGGTTCAACAGGACACCGGGTCTCTTCCCGTACTTGAGAGCGTTTCATCTTGCAATACACTCTTTTTTTATAAGAACAATTTTATAAGAACACGAGCCTGAAAATTGGTCAAAAGTTAAGAACAAATTAAGAACAAGCTGAGGCTGAGCATCTGCGAAATGCAATTTTGAACAATGTTTTTTTTCTCAAAATCGAGGATTTTTAGCGATGTCTGGGTGCTTTTTCGTCGAATATTCAAACTTTTCGGCAAATGAATGTTGTCTCACTCACTTTGTTGGCAAATGAGGCCTGAACACTTCCCTAGAACCAAAAAGCTAGCACTCGCACTGCTTACACCCTATTAGATTAAGAACAAATTAAGAACAACCCAGCCTCAGATTTTCGAAAAAATTAAGAACAGTCAGCCTGAATTTGAATTTTCTGGTTCTTATAAAAAAAGAGAGTGTATATGCTGTCCTACGGGTAAGAGACGGGGCACAGAATCTGTGACGGTGGCCAGTATGACCCGGTGTCCTCTTTTCATTCATGCATTTCATTCATTTAAATTCTTTAGGGAGGGTGGCCCATCAGCGGAGAAGCTGATTTTCAAAGGGCCCTTCGTCTACATTACATACTACATGCAGGATTTCAAATGTTTGACTTTTTGAAAAAGCTTCTTTACTTACAATAAAAAAAAATTGTTTATAAAATAAAATAGAATAAGGTAGAATAAGTAGCCTGATTTTTTAAAACAAAACTAAAACAGAAACAAAAATCAAATTTTTAAAATAGCTTAAGTATGTTTTTTAAAGATCCTCTGTCGTTATTTCATAATCCCTGAAAATTTCCCTAGAGCGCAGCTAGCCATCAAATTGTCCCAGGGCCTAGAGGGCGGCACTGATTGGTCAACCTCGTCAGTCACATGCTCGTGTTTCTGATTGGCCTATTTCGATCCACAACTGGGTATATATATTTCCTAGCGTAGAGTTTTCGATCTATGTTCTGACGTTTTAAACTCTGAAGAGTGTCAGACGAAAAGCTTTAGTTTACTAAATGTTTGCTTTTTAAAAGCCATGTTCAAGTTCTGTACCACTAATAAACTCCGTTTTAAAATTGAATTAATTTAAAGTTAAAAGAATTAGGCCTAATAATAGTAGAACCGTTAATGACTTTCGATGGATTATTCAACCAATTTCAGTTGATCTAAGGGGCATAGAATTTGAAAGTGATGACGTCACAAAAACCTATTTTTAGAGTTTTTAAATTGGATCCCATAACCTGAAAGAGCATCATTGTCTGAAAATGCAGCATTGTCGGAAATATTTTTAAACCATTTGATAGTGCCGTTATTACTTACAAAATGGTAAATAATTTGTGTCCAGACAGTCAGAAAGGGCAATTTATTTAAAGATCTCTAATACCCGGAAACAGGACATGGAAATTCTTGATGCAGACACCCCAAGAAGGAACTACATAAAGTCCTTTTTATGTACCAACCATGCCTGCCAAAAGTATTTGGAACACCCAGCAATTTGCGTTGCATTTGATATCTTTCATTCCTTTTCCGAAAAAATTGCTACTTCTGCCCCCTTTTCCCTTAGAACAATGTTGATGATTCAGAGAAATATCATAAAAGAAGCGCAAAAGAAAGTGCTTCCTAAAATCCTAACCCGTTTCATAATAAACCAACATTGTTCTGTAGGGGAGAGGGGGGTGATTGATTTTGACCTTGGAAATTGACGTCAGTGTTCCTGGACTTTTGGCAGGCATTGTAAATGCAGCGACCTGGATTGCTATTCATTTTCAGATAAAAAACAGATCGGCAATTTTAGTGTACAAAGAGGAATTGAAAATTTTTTCCAGACCTAGCATACCCCAAAGCATCACCCTCTAGGAAGAGCAGCAGTTCAATTCTTGTTTTTTCGTAGAGCTTGTGAGTTTTATTTCATTTTTGCAAAGATTATTGGATTTGGGGATAAAAATATGCTGAAATAAAACGAAACGAAGCGAAACGAAGCGAAACGAAGCGAAACGAAGCGAAACGAAGCGAAACGAAGCGAAACGAGACCAAATGAAATGAAATGGCACAGGGCGGAAATGGAAGATAGGACCAAGGAAGCAGAGATGCGGGGGAGCGTCTAAGAAGAAGCACTTCAACCCTTAACCCCCACCCCCTCTTTCATTTTCCATCGTGTAAGTGTTTCTGAGAAACCATTTGCAATCGGAGCCTTGGCTTTGCCGCCCTACGATGGTTCAGGTTGAACCAAAGTTGTATCATTTGAATGTTGCACCTGTCAATCAAGATAATCCGAGAACCAATCAAATTCGATTTGCTAATCTGCCGCCGCGGGCTTTTAATTCAAGTGGTTTGATATCAATGATAAGGAGAAATTCAATTCAATGAAGGACTCATTCATTAACAGGTCATAGATTAAACAGGTTGGGACAAGGCTGGCCAGATTTATCGAATAGTTTATCTAAGCTTTCATGAAATGGTTCAGAATCCATTCAAAAGGCATATTGTATCCACAAGACCACAGCTATTCAAAGCTTTTGGTAAAGATTTAACGTCATTTTTTTCGCTTCAGACTATAAAAAACTTAATGTTATTTTTCCCCTTTTCTTCAACCTTTAAACAACCTTTTGAATTGACCTCCTTTATAAAATTGACATCTATCTATAATTGCTATTAATGAAAGTAGCCAAAAAGAGGTTGTGGTCTCCTTAGTTTGTTTACCTAC